TCGCGGGATCACGCTGGAAGTAGATTTTGGTCGTAGCTAGTCATAAGGTAGACAACACGTGTGTGACAGATTCGATACAATGTCTTGCACTCCTTGCAGCCGCGCTGGCAGCCTAAAACACAGCGTACGATTCCTCGCTCATGCCAGGCATAGTCGCCAATTCAATGGGGTCGACTTCATCCGCTCCTGCCGGTATACTGTCCTCGTCACAGTCGAAATCGGTGTCTATCGTTGACGTTCCAGCATCCTGGGTTGTCCAACGGCACCAAGATAGCCTGAACCTCTCGTGAAGTTGTACAGGGGGAGGTACGTCTTGCAAGGGCACATGACTTTCATCTTCTCTAAAGGGATGGAAGTCACGATTGAGGCCGGCGGCAAGAAGATCGAACGTTTTCAGTCGCTCCATGATGCAGCACACGGCCATAGCGGGCAAAAGTTGCCTCGGTTTTGTATGCGCTACAGGGGGTTTCAAAGAATCCCAGATGGCTGTGGGGGGGATGTTTGATGTGTTTACTATCGTGCACAACAGGTTACGTTGATCCACCAGCCAGTATTGTAAACGTGCCGCCTCCGTCCTCATCCTGGCGAGCTCTTTCATCGCACAGTCGTAATGACGGGTGGCACGCACCCCCTCTCTTATATGTGGTTGAGTCCAGAGTTCCGCTCCAAAGTGCCGTTGGTCTCTAAGGCAGGCAAAAGACTCAGAGACTGCTTCTTGATTCTCCGTCCAACGGCTTTGATCGATAAGGGGCGGTCGCTGTGCGATCGGCAGAGCCAAACGTGCCGTCTGATACTTCTTGAGAGATGTTTCAAGACCAGCGCTTCTGGCATTGAGGCCTGCTTGGATTTTAGCTCGGAGCTTGTACGACGTTCCCGGGCGCGAACAGCGATCTAACTCTTGCATCCGCGACATACAAGCCAGTTCCAGGTGGTCGAGAGCGTCTTCATAAGCCTCCCACACGGCGTTGTCTGCCGCTATCTTGCCCTCCTGACTGTCTAGCCAGATGAAGATGTCTGCGTCCCTCGGATACCGTGACTGTAAGTTGTGTTGGTTCATACAGATCAACAGATCCTTGCGGGCGTTCACCAGAGCATCGTCTGCATTGGCCCGGTGCGCAAGATGCATAAAGTGGATCACAGGATCGGTCGTCGGTTCGTTGTTTACTTGATCGAAAGCGATTCGCTTTTGTTTGCTGTCGTTCAAAGCTGACCGGTACGATGAGGCCAAGCGATAGAAGCGAGCTTGTTCCGTTCGCGCCCTACGCATGTGCAGTGTAGCAACAGAGTGACCGTTTTCTCGGGAGACTCGCTCACTATCGATCATCGTTCGGAAGAATGCCAGATCCCAGTGAGGCTTGCCATGGCTGCGAGTGAGGCTCCGGATCGTCTCCAGAGCCTCCCGCTGCATAGCTCTAGCTGATCGGAGGTTTGCTACGAGGAACCTGGCTGCATTCATGAGGCCGCGAACACGTCAGCGCCTGATTTTGAGGGTGCAATCGAGGGGACGCACCTGCGTTCGCCAGCTTGTCAGCGTTCCAGTGTTTCAACATCATCTCCAGCATTTGATGTCGGTGATACGCTGTAGCATGCCGGGATAATCCAGCCATCCGATTAGTGAAAGAGAAGAGACGTTCACACGTCTCAAAGTCTTCCAACCCCACTGCGGCGGTTATTCGCGGATGGTACTGCAGCTGGCATTCGTATGAATGGGCATATCCATGCCATGCGCCGATGTCTGGATTGGGCAAGGGAGGGACATTCAGTTGGGAGGTCTCTCCTTGAAGACATCTTCTTACTGACGAAAAGACAGCCGTGGATGAGGCTCCTGGAGATGCTTAAGCAGGGGCGCATGTGCAAATGTTTTGCTAAACGTGCAACCGATATCATATCCAACAGCGATCCGTCCGGGATAGCGATCTGCCATCCATCGCAGAAGCGCGAGCGGAAACTTGGAGTTCTCTCGCTCCTTTATCATATCAGTGTATGCGAGAACGACGCCATGTCGGCAGACCAGCGGGAACCATCCCATTGCGTCGAAGATCTTGGTTGCGGCTGGCTTCTCCAAGGCTGCATTCCAATGTGATGCACAAGGGCGAGTGTCGGGAACATCCTGAGCAGGGGTTGGAGCTGTTCGCGGTCGTGGCTGAGAGGCCTGTTTCTGATGTGTGATGGTTTGATGACTGAACGAATCAACAAAGGTGGTGCCCAGGCGGAACGACGATCGATGAATTTGGTACTGCCGAGCCGATGGATGGTGATCATGTCTCTTCAAACTGTTGTTGCCGTCCAGAGCGACACAGACTTCATACGTATCATCCGGGGGAGCTGACTCGCTACCAAAACACAGCGGGCAGTCCCACTGGCGAAGTGGGGGGCCCCTCGCAGGTGCTTCTACCGATGGACAATCTGATGGTGCTAGTACCCCGGTCATTGGTGCGGAGCGAGTCGTCAATGGTTCATCCTGAGTTGTAGGTGGAGGAGGTCGTGACAGGACCTGTTCGCGGTCGGGGTTTGCGCGCCGGAAGTCCGTATCGAACACTGTGGTTCCCCGATTCTGTAAGGAATCTGCCTGGAGTGAGAGTGATATGAGTATTATACGCTTTGTGGGGTGGGAATGGCCCTACTTCATTCTCCATAGCGGTCACGATGTCGATGTATAGGTCAACAGCAGCACTGAATTTTACGCGAAGGCCTTCGCTGTAGGCTATCTGGGAAGCGGGGCGTCCGAGCACGTTAGCAAGTTATGTATCATCCAAGCTTTGAGACATACACCTCCAGAGACGTACTTGATTGTATGTACAGATAGAGCGTACGAATGACTGTCGCGAATGCTGGGCGTGACGGAAATGTATCGTGTAGAATTCTAGGCATTTTGAGCTGAAGGCTACAGTCGGGAATTGCAGCCGAGACGGAATGTATCCTCGGCTGATGATGTGCGCAGCAATCCCGGTTGGAGTTTCTCTCCATGAATTCGGAAGCCAAACATGCGAACATTCTATTTCGCACGGTGTAAATACACGTCCCGTGGAGAGTGAGTGAAGAGACTGACCGTAAATATCGACGAGCAGAAGAGATGAGCAGCCTTGTTGTCCATCTCCCCATGGGAGGGGCGGAGTCGGTGGGGGACTGTATCTGTGGCGGTAGTAGTGAATGACAAGGACAATGAGGATTTGATCGAGGTAGACCTGTTCGCGATTGCGTTCGACGAGGTAAGACCTGGGGGGAACAGACCGCGAATGAGGTGATGTGAATGGGAGACGGTGCCCTACGGGACTGACGATTTGTTGCCACGGGTCAAAGCCTGGCTCAGTGCAGTGTTGAGCTCGTTAAGATGATCAAAATGACGAACAGGGCCGAACACGTCCTCTTGTTCAGTTGCGATGTCATTGAATCCTTCAAAGTGGTTCGTGAGGATAGTGTTCGTTTCTTTGTGAGAGGCCTGCACTCCTCTGGGCCTGCTCCCGTTTGGCCGCCAGCCGGGAAAAGAAAGAATCACACCCTCACGACTGGTAGTATTGAAAAGACTTGCACGCCCTGTTGGATAGCGAGTTGTCACCCGGAGGGGAGATGGTGTTGAAGGTGATCTAGGAGGGACGAAAGCTGAAGGTAGACTACTGTTTGGTATAATTGATGGCTTCCCTCGCTTGACCTTCGTTGGTGTTCTTGGTGGACGATCGGGAGGCATGACACAGTGGACAGAGTGGACCAGTGTCTGGATGGCATTGGGATTCGCATGAGAGTGTAAGTGCGTCTGTAACAGCGACTTTATGTAAAGGAAGAAAGTGAAGGTAGCGATACAACGATAACGTCGGGTACAGCCGAAAATGCGGATGCAGATGTTCGCGGTGTGAAGAGAGTCTCCCGCGAACACAAACCAACTGATGCGCGAACACAAACCAACTGATTGACAGGGAGTTGCAGTACATTTGCAAGGGGGACGATATGTATTGGCGGTCACATCGTGTATTTATAGGCGGTATGACAACAGGTGTTGGTGTAGTTGGTGCAGAACTTAATGAAGCAGACGTCGGTCCTCACTGAGTCGAGGGCAAAAGGAATAGTAAGAGTGAAGGAAGGAGCAAGCATTGAAATGTATAAACAGATTGAGAACGACCTTACAAGCCACCCGAATACCAAACGCAATGAATCTAATGTACAACCTACCCTCGTCGGCTAAGGAGACGTCGCTGGGCCAGCTCGAGCGTCATGAGCATTCGGGCGTCATCGATGTTGCTGTGGAAAAGACTTTCTGCACCCTGTTGAACAGACTTGGTCCGACAGATAGCTTCGATGAACAGGCAGGTGAATACGCCGCAATCACTCCCGTTCTCTTGCTGCGCGACGTTCTGTATGTCGGGTGGTGTTCGTATGAATACCTATCAACCGCCAACGGAGGAACGAGGGGACAAACTCACCGGGTAGTGATACGTCCATGCTGAAGTATCCAAAGCGGTACCGCGAAGGGCATGATGAGTCTCCGCAAGCCAGCACAAGACATACTGTTCACGAGGGGTAAGGTGTAAGGTGAGCAACGAAAGGACGGGGCGTCTGGAGGGAAGACATACCGAGAAAACATCCGTGCGGGTGGCATCTTGATACCGTGCAGAGTCAACGATATATATAGCCTTCTCGGGAATGTCGATTGCAACCGCAAACCAATGTTCCCGGTTGACGTTCCAGGGCATGACAAAGAGGTTAGCTTCGAACAGGTCGATGCCATTCTAAGAAGGGATGGCGAACAAGTATGTTGTAAGTTTGAAAGTTTCAATTGACGGCGTAGTAAAAGTATTTGCTCACCTGCTCGAAGTACGGAAGTTGGGTGGGACTCCCATCTACGGCACCGAGATAACGCGCTCCCTGCTGGTATTTGGATGTGAGGATCTGTCCGATCACGGTCGGGCCGACGATCACCTTCGCGGAGCTACCGGAATGATTGGGAGCGTTGTTCGCGGGGGTGTTCGCGCGGCATTCGACCAAGTACAGATACGACTCAATTGCTGCATCGTGTAACCAGTATCCAGGCCGGAAGCGGGAGTAGAACTTCGCGGTGGGAAAGGCCGTAAGCATCGTGGCCGGCGGGTCAACGTAGTGATTAGATTGGGAGCGGCCGGGTTGCAGAGGCGGGTAGTGTTCCTCCGGATCCCAATCACGAGGCTTTGCGCTCGCCTCCATGATGGACTGAGCCTAGAATTTGTAAAAGAGAAGAGAAAAGTTTAAACGAAAGTTAACAACGCTATGGGTTCTTGAGCTCGCCTACCCTAGTCTTCAATGCGTGACTCAGTGGATCCTCGAAGCGGAAAGAGCTCGGAACGAGCGGTACTTCAGCCACCGAGGCCCGATTGTTGGCTAGTTGGGCAAGTGGGGCAGCTGGATCACGCTGACCCATGGCGGCCTGGAGGACGGGAGGTTGAGATACTTTGAGGAGGGAGGGAAGACCCATGGGAAGTGATGGAATCGGGGTCGGGGCAGGGGCTGCGATGGCCTCTCGGCGTCGTCGTTCCTCCTGTTCGGAGTACATCAGCACGGCGGCAGCTGGCGTAAGTCCCGCATCTGTATCGCGAGGAGGAAGAAGGAGATGAGATTATGAGATTAGAACAGGATGCTGCCTCATCGTTCAGAACACGTACCCATAGTATCAGCCGCTAAGGCAGTAATGACCGTTTGGTAATCTGCAAGACTGCGTGTGAGGTCGATAGGCTTCAGATACGAGGGGAGAGAGAAGTCCTCAAGTTGAGCGTGATCTCTAGACAGCCATGTCGAGCAATGTGACTTACAGGAATGGCAGAGTTGGCCGGTGCGTCTAGAGCGGCAGCGAGAGCCGAAGAGGCAGCAGCGAGCTGTTCGCGGGCAGATTGGGGAGGTTGAGGAAGGTCTCGCGTACCGGACTCCCATCCGACGGGAGGTTTGAGCCCAGCAAAAAGACGGGAGGGGATAGTTGTAGCCGCAACGGGAGGTGGCCGCGCCGCGCTGGATGTGACTACGGGAGTAGCACCCCTCTCCCGCTCTTTGCCCTTATCACGAGCGGTCAGGGCGGGGATCCTCTTGCCGCCAAGGCCACTGTTATCGTCGTCGTCGTCGTCGTCAGGCAATAGGTCAAGGCCAGTCCAGGACCAGTCAGCGGCATCGCGGAGCAAAAGATCCTCCTCAAACTGGGCCTTGTCTTCAGCAGCCTGCTGCCGGTAGTTCTTCATCCTCTCGTCGTTGCGCTTCATCCTCTCGTGGGAGTGCTTTTTGTCCAACTCATTAATAAACATGAGGTGACTCTCGTCGAGGTCCTTCATCCTCTCGTCGTGGTGCTTTTTGTCCAGCTCATTAATAAGCATGTGGTGATTGAGCGTCGTGCGAGGAGAGGGAGGATGAGGTGGAGACGGTGGAGGGGCAGATGGGCCTGCCTGGGGAAGAGGGGGCTCGTTTGGAACGAGGCGGGGCGAGGGTGTACGCGAGAGATTCAAGTCGATTCGCCCACCCGCGAACTTGTCGCGCCAGAATTTCGGACCGTTCGCGGGGACAAGTTGTGGAAATTCCTCTTGCGGACAAAGGCATGGAGAGGCGAAACAGTTACACCCGACGGATGAGAGATCATCAGGTGCATCCTGATCGGTTCCCGTCGCAGATGCGATGACGGCGGCTATGATATCAGTTGGTTTGCCTGCCAACTTGGTGACCTCTTTATCTTCTTCATTGAGGAGATCGCGGAGGGAGGAAGAGGTGGGGGTGGGTGCCAGCGTAATGCGAGCACTTTGGTCGGGGGTGACCGGGTTGGAGGAGTTGGCGGGGACAGACATGGTAGAAGTAAATGGATTTGCTGGATTAGGTTGTAATTACGAGTAGTAGATGCGGAAGGTGAGAAGGAGGAGAAAGGCAGAACATACGAGAGGGAGCGGTGCGCATGGTGTAGTATATCAAAGTTTGCGTCTTATATATGAGATATGGGCCGGGAACAGCGAGACCTCTAGGTGTCGAAGATGGAGTACAGTTGGCTGAAACGATGGCAGAGTTCTTTTGTCGTGGGATGTTTCAAGCATGCATGGTGTAATGTCTATTGTCTGGCAGAGTTGGTCTTTTGTTGTGCGAATGTAGGTTTGTTTTCTTTTTGTTTTTTACCTTTGTTATGTTTGTTTGTTCGCGGGTCATCTCGTGTTCGCGGGGAGACTTTGTTTACTGTTTGATGGGGATTGAATCATTCGCTTCGTGTTCGCGCGAACGATGCGTGGGCGCGTCTCTTAGCTTAGTAAAGCAGAGAAAAATTGTGAACCCGAGCGATTGTCAATCTCTCACGCGCGCCAGGGATAGGTGGGCCCGCCACCCCTCGATTGCCCTCCTCTCTATAGCAGCTGCAACCGTGCAACCGTTGACCTTGTCTCATCTTCCCCCTGTTCCTTCTGCATTCATCGCATAACCAAAGATGACTTCCAAAACTCTGGACAATTCCAATCCGACTGTGCATGCAACCTTATCACAGGCCCATGCTGAAAAGCCAGTCTCTCAGAGCGCGCTGTTGGCCAATGTCTGGAAGACGTCGAATGATGACCCACAGGAGCAGGACAGTGATATGGAATGGGTCAAATCAGCAGTCTCTCAAGAGGAAACAGGGAAACCTCTAGCGTTTATAGGAAACACGGAACGAGAGGACATAGATGAGCTCGAGGTTTTCGGTGAGCAGACGGTGACTCACTCGGAAACTCTGTATCACGTGTCGCATCCCGCCTGATGCATTCCCTCGCACACAGATTTGTTGCGATCAATCACCGATCCTGAGCATCCCTTGACATTGGAGCAGCTCGCCGTGGTATCGCCCTCTCAGATACACGTTTCTAACAAGCAGGGTGGCGAACGAATCCTTATCGAGTTTACACCAACGATGTAAGTACTGTGCCAGCCAAACGACGGTTTTGACTCTCATACTTTTATACTTGCAAACCACTAGACCCCATTGTAGTATGGCTACTCTTATCGGTGAGCCGGAGTATTCTCACAGAGTCGGGCATGCGCATTATTGACATCCAAATCAGGCTTAACGCTCCGGGTTCGACTGCTGCGCTCCTTGCCGCCCAAGTACAAGGTCGATATCAGAATCAAAGAGGGCATGCATCAAAGCGAGAATGCCGGTATGTATCATACGGTTACCATCACACTCTCGTCCAGTAGTTCACACGTGCATATAGTCAACAAACAGCTTAACGACAAGGAGAGGGTGCAAGCGGCCCTCGAAAACGCACACTTGCTCGGTGTAGTCGAGGGTTGTTTGTCTAGCGCAGATAACAGAGGAAATGCTGGAGGCGGAGTCTTGGTGGCCTGATCGTTCATTACCTCAAAGGACAGAGCGTGTCCTTGCTTTCAATACGCGACAGGCTGCACCTGCTCCATACTTGGATGGAGCGAGAGCCAGCAAGTCCCCCGGACGTTGCAAGACTCGTATATACCCCCTGGAGCTTGAATAGTCATAGATATCAGATCCGTAATCGAGAACGACAGACACGTCATTATCATACAACTGGTCGAACGAAGCGAAGCGAAGCGATTCGCCGTGGACGCAAGGGAAGTGGTCAGGGCTTGTTGTCTACGAGCAGCATCCGCCAGAACTTTGTTGGTTCTGCCCCTGCCCAACGTTGACGTTTCCAGAACTCTTTCCAGCCAGCCCAGCTTGCGACGCCCCAGCAACGGCAGCGTCAGGTTGGCTGTCGATCAGACGGGTCTTGATGTCCCTGGCAAGATATGAAGAGTCTATGTGAGAGGATTGTCCAAGGAAAAGCCAGCTACCCATCCCGACTAACCTGGCTAGCGTGAAGAACGCCTCTTCGACGCCCTCGTTGTCCTTTGCACTGGTCTCTAGGAACCTCAGACCAAACTCGTCGGCCAATTGTCTTCCCTGCTCTAAAGTAACGGCACGCTTCTCGTCCCAATCGCACTTGTTACCGATAAGAATCTTGTTGACGCCTTCAGAAGCGTGCTGCTCGATGTTTGCATGCCAAGTCCGGATGTCTAGACCGCGCGACGATGTGCGAGAAAAGAGGGGAAATGAGAAGGTACTATTTGGGCGAATTTGACGGCAGACTGACTATTGAAGCTCTTCTCGTCTGTGACATCGTAAACCAGAAGGATGCCCATGGCGCCACGATAATACGCCGTCGTTATGGTCCTGAATCGTTCTTGTCCTGTTCACAACCGGTGGAAGACGTCAACCAGGTCCTGCAATGGCTGTCTAGGTCCAGATCGCCGTACCAGCGGTATCCCAGATCTGTAACTTGATCCTCTTGCCATCCAGCTCAATGGTACGGATTTTACTGATCGAAGCGGGTCGTCAGCTGGGCGAAAGACGCCAAATGCGCTGACAGGCGAAACACTCACAAGTCGATACCTGAACGTGAACGAGATTCACTCCGCACTTTCAGACAGGAGCGACATTCTTACAGGCCAAAGAGAACATACCAATAGTGGTGATAAAGCTGGGTGTCCAGGCATCATCACAGAACCTTAGCAACAGGCACGACTTTCCGACTCCTGTCAAAGTGAATTGGTTCAACCACCACGACGTTCAGTATCCATCCTTCCAAGCCATCATCTCTGCAGTCATGTGCGTACCGGAATCGCCAATGAGCAGCAGTTTGATGAGAAAGTCGTAATGAGGGGCGACCATGGTTGCGGGTTTCCGGAAGGAATGGAGGACGAGAGAAAGTCTAGAATTCGTCAGACAGGATTTTGCGTGGAAGTCCGATTGAGCACACAAGCTACAAGTAGGATGGAAAGCCAGGCGGTGGTTTACGAGGTTGGTCAATTGGTTGCCTATCCTGTTAAGGCGGCGTCCAGTGGATCAGGGTCGAATGCCGAGGACAGATGATGTGAACCGTTGAATTCCAGTACGCAGACGGTAGAACGAACGGTAAGCTGACTGAGGGTTGAGTGATGCAGACGGCGCGGATAAACGAACCGTTGATGACTCGAGAATCACAAAAGTGAAGAGGATAGCAAGACGGTACGGAGGTGTATGCGTGTGTGTGTGTGTGTGTGTGTGGTGAATTGTGTGTGATGTGCATGATATGACGACGTTGTACTCGAGCAGCGATGCACGGGTTCGTCGACACGAGAGTGGGGGGTGGTGGGGGGGGAGAGGGGAGGCAAAGGAACGAGAGGACGAGCGGGGGGAGGAGGGCCAGAGGAGCGACAGGGCACGGGGCGAGTCGGACCACCTCTACCTCGCGTGGGTGAGGGTCGTCTGCATCCGGCATCCGGACAATCCTATTGCTGCTGCTGTTCTTAAAACGAAAACAGGCTTCGGGGTATGATGAGTTTCTCTTTCCTCATACAATCTAATTCTGGCCGTAGGTATTGGTCCATAAGATACAAATCAGAGTTCTATCAACAATGGCTCTTCTGCATCCTCGGTCCTGCGAGCGGGTTCACGATCGATACGAGGCAGCGCGTGATTGGGCGCGTCTGGCATGGCAGGAAAGGTTTCTTCTACTGTGTGAGGAGGGGCTCGCATAGTCCATGGCTCGTCCTGTGCGCCGCCATTCGGATGGGCCGATGGACCCGTTTGAGCGATTGGGACCGGCACATAAGCTTCCGACTGGTATGTATGGGTTGGCAAGGAAGGAGGCGGCTGGGATACAGGATGGGACTGATATGTCGGATCCAAGTAGGGCCTCTCTTGTCGATTGTCACTCGCAAAGCTTTCGGTCGCCTGAGTATGCATTGGTCGAGCTTGGTAATCTAGAGACCCTGCTCGGTCGCTGTAAGGGAGGCTGACCGTTGGTATTTGGGTGGATTGGTGTATATAAGGCGGTTGGCCCGGCGGATGTTGCTGATGTATTCCGGTGCGGGTGGACGGAACCGGTGAATGGTACGAGGGTTGTTGTGATATTGTCGAATAACCCATGTACTCCGATCCGGCGGGAGCGCCCGCCCGATGGGCTCCGGGCTGATGTTGACTCTGGGTCATCCGCTGCTGGACGCTGTACGCCTCTTGCTCCTCTTGTAGCTGATCGTATCGTCGAACAGCCTGCATGAGTCGTTCATGCATCTCCGCCAACATGTCTGATCGCCCCATTTCTATTGTCAGTTCGAAGCGATCGCGAGCTAATCGCTCAAGGCTAACTCACAGTGTTTCGTGCCCTTTTCTTCGACGTTCCTCTGAAGCTTTCCTGCGAGTCCGTGTGCCTGCTCGTATAGTGGATATACGTGAGGGAAACGGTGCAGGTCGCGGTCGCCAAATCCGACAGCATGCTCGATGGTTTGTGCAAATGTCAACATGGTCTCAGTTTCCCGAGGTGATAGATCATAGGTCGGAAGCGGCTGAGAGGCGAAGCACTGGTGTCAGTGCTATGTGAGCTCAGACGACCCGGCCAGCCGCTACATACCTTGTAGTCAATCTCCGGATCCTCTATCGCGCCAGGAGCGGATGGTCTGACTTGATGCATATCAGCCAGACTAGCCTCGATGGCGAGACGAAGTTCGTCGTCCTCGGTTTCGAGGACATCGGAACCTTCCAACTTCCGGCCATGCATTCCAGGTTGCGAACCGACCATCTGATTGGAAGCCTCACCTGAGCTTCCCTCGGCCAAGGACAACGCAATTGCTCTTTGCAGATCTGCGTCAAACTGCTCCGTCCGTATCGATCGTTTTGCGGGGATAGACGGCGTGTTCGGATCGTTTCTTGAAGAACGCAATTCCCATGTTACGATGAGCTACGGAAACAGTACTCGTGAAACGGCTTCGAGCTGACGTACTTGCTCAGCCTTTCGCCGCGGCCTCCTTTCTGGTAGCATGGTTCGCAAACGCGAACTTCTTGAACAATGCCCAGATGAGGGAGGGGCATCGTCTTGCTAGAGCATGCCTGATCAAAAACGAGCCCACAATTGCGGCAGTGGTGTTTCCGGTTCGTGAACGTGAAGGGCGATCGGCAACGCATGCAGGACTCTGAATCTATCCAGGTTGGAGGGGTCGCTGTCGTTAAGAGGTGGTTGGACACAGTCTTCGGAGGTGGAGGGAACGCAATGCCTAAGTACAACAGCAACGATCCAACAGTTTGAGATTTGATGGTCACTATTGCGACGTCTGGACAATCGGGCGTACCGCTTGCTTTGAGATCCCGATAACTCTCTGGCAAGTAGCTCAAATTGCTCTTCGCTTCAAACACCAGAGCCCATTGCTGGAGTAGATTTATAGCCATCTCGCGAACCTGAGGGACAGTAGCCTGTACCCGCAAAGGTAGGCTTAGCTAATAGTCAGGAACCACGTCCCCAATCGACTCACAGGCGCTTTGATTAAGTTGGTCATCTCACCCACGAAATCTTTGCTAGCTATCTCTTGAAGGAAATGATCGCCTCCGTTTTTTATACATGTGTCAGTCAGCTGACGTGGGACAGAATGAGTACCGATGCGAAGGAGTAAGCGGGTTGATACACGACCTAGGCCCTCGCATTTGGACTCACACCCAACGCAGCCATCTGGACTCGTCCATTCTTGCTTGCCAGGCGAGTCTTGAGACTTTGCATGGCCGATTTAGGAGGAACAGTCTTGGAACGGATGAGATCGCATATCTCTAGATTCAGAGCGATGTCCTCCGATTCCGGCCAAGGCAGATTTAGCGGCGAGCATGCTTTCTCTGCGATGATTACCAAGTGCGCGTCGTAAGGACATGAAGAGACCAGCAAAGAGACTCCACCGGATTGGACGGATCACATACCGACCAAGTCTTCTAGTTGTGGGTTGAGTGAAGAGCCCCAGATCCAAGAGGCCATAGCGGTTGTCGAATCCGGTCAGAATGAGTTCAAGCCCAAGGTGGTCGCTGACCCTCGCGACACGAGTCGAACTATCAGTTGAGCTAGTGATCCGTTCGATAGCTACGGACGGTTCTTGCGAGTTTGCGTCCACGAGCACGTTCCTAATCCAAGCCAGTGATTGCAGCAGAGGAATGACGATGATATCTGGCTGAGGGGGCAAAGGCATAGGATAATAGAGGATATGGTAGTAGTCATCAAGTTGTCAGAGGGTGATATCATCACCTCGCGTCGGCCCCGACTCGCGTGAGAAAGCGACTCTTGACCTTGCCGAGGGTCACAGAGGTCGTCGAACGGTTCAAACAATCCTCTACAGTATACGTCGCGACGTCGTCCCCATGTGCAGGAGTCTACGGATTCATAGATCATAGACAAGCTTGCAGACCTGCTCTCACAAGCGACAGTACTAGCGATCATTCTGCGTCCGACAATCGATACAGATCGAACCTAGATTTTCCAAACTCTTCGTACCAATCGCATCGCCACTCGCTGGACAGTCTGATCCTCGTGGAATCTTGGCTAATCGCCATCATCGAGGTCAAGATCGACTACCGAGTTCCTTGACGGTGTCGTTCAAACCTGTAGAGCGATTTCTAGTGCTGCAACAAGGTCATCGTCACCGCTAACGGAACGGCGAGTCATCTCGAGACAACTTAACGGGTCCGAAGCCTTGGTTGGCGCATCGGAGTCGTCACGCCTCAGCACCTTTTCCGTGCAACGCAGCGGTGTCTCGAAACTCGTCAGCTCGGTTGGAACATCAGTACATCTTGTCGGGAGCCGTTGCTGCAGTCTCGATTTCTCGGCCATTTAGAAACCTTTCGCGATGCCTTTTACACAATCCAACGCTCCGGTCCGCCCGGTGAAAGAAATCCAGTTTGGTATCTTGAGTCCCGAAGATATCGTACGTCTCGCCTGCTTGAGCGATACTATGCTGCACGTCTGCCGGGATCTCTGCTCACTCGGGCTGGGGGTTTCGACCATTTAGAAAGCTTACTCCGTGGCGAAGATCGAGTTTCCCGAGGTTAACGATGAGAATGGCAAACCTCGAAAGGGCGGTCTTATGGACCCCATGATGGGCAGTGAGTCTCAAGAGGAAGTGATTCCTGGCCAGGACCGGATTATTTAGTGCTTAAATTGCGGTTGCAGCGATTGATCGTAACACGAGTTGCGAGACATGTGGTGAGGGCATGTCCGAATGCCCTGGACACTTTGGTCATATCGAGTTAGCTCGGCCCATTTACCATCCAGGTAAGAGGGGACTCTTGCGAGTCTGTCCTCCCGCCCGTTAGCCTACCGTACCTGTCTCGTACCAGGGTTCATGGTCAAGGTCAAGAAGATTCTCGAATGCATTTGCACGAATTGCGGTCGGCTTAAGATCGATCAACAGGTATGTGGTCGGGAGTACAACGCAACGGTAGGATGGTATGAGTGAATCATGAACTTTCCCTTCAAAACAGATGGAACCTGGATTGTGGGAGTTATTGGCGAGGCTTCAACCCAAATATCGCTTGAAGTATGTCTGGGAAAAGGCCAAGAGCACCTTTGTCTGCGCAGAAACAGATCCGGCGGATGAGGACAATCCTATGCCTATCGGACACAACGGCTGCGGACATCGCCAGCCATTGATCAGGAAAGAAGGGCTCAAAATGTTTACAGTCGACAAACGGGTTGGGGAAGAAGAGGACTCGAAGAAGAAGAAGGTTCGTATCGTCAAGGGATAAATATCGTCGTCGTGGCTGACACAAGCTTGCCCCTTTTGCATCGCTACTTCATCTTGGCCGTGATCACACAGGAAGGTCCAGCAAAGCCTGCTACCGATAAACACTTTTATTCCGCGTTTGATTGCTACAACCTCTTGAAGAAGATTCCGGCCGAAGATATGGACGCCATGGGGTTATCGGCAGAGTTCGCTCGGCCAGAGTGGATGATCTTGACCGTCTTGCCTGTTCCTCCGGCCCCAGTGCGCCCTTCGGTGGCATCTCCAGGCAAGGCGAGCGCTCAGGATGATCTCACGTACAAGCTTGCCGAAATTATCAAAGCGAACGGCTCGGTCGAAAAGGCCGAACAGGAGGGTAGTCCTCAGTACATCATCAACAACTTTGTGGAATTGCTACAGGTGCGTACCATATCGCGTATTTCCACACCGCGATATCAAGCCAAGTAGTTGTCCCTTTTTTCAGTATCACGTCTGTACGTACATGGACAACGATTACGCTGGCGTACCGACTTCAAAGCAAAAGGGCGGTCGTCCTATCAAATCCATTCGAGCTCGATTGAAGGGAAAGGAAGGAAGACTTCGAGGCAATCTCATGGGAAAGCGAGTCGACTTCTCGGCTCGAACAGTCATCACGGGAGATCCTCTGCTTGACCTCGATCAGGTCGGAGTACCCCGGAGCATCGCAATGAATCTGACATATCCAGAAAGAGGTGTGGTGCCTTTGAACAGTTATGAAGAGTGGAATTCGGCTGATTCTGACATGTCCCGGTACAGTAACGGTTCATAATCGGTATCGCTTGCAAGAACTCGTTGAGAACGGTCCGGCATCCTATCCCGGCGCCAGATTCGTATTGAAAGACTCCGGCGAGCGAATTGATCTGAAGTACCGACGTTCGAACGTTCCGTTGCAATTGGAATATGGTTGGATTGTAGAGCGACATCTGATCGACGGCGAGTGAGTAGCCATGTGGCAGGCGGGCCTAGACGCAAACTTACTGAACTTTGCTCCTTGCACCGGTAGTTACGTTCTCTTTAACCGTCAACCGTCGCTTCATAAGATGTCGATGATGTGTCATCGAGTCAAAGTCCTCTATTATTCGAGTAAGCGGCCACTCGACAACAGACGAGCTGTATTGGGCTAAGCTGATAGACGACCGCGCTTAGCTTTCCGATTGAATCTATCGGTGTAAGATCAGCCACAAGCAACCTTTACTTGGGAAGGGCGGCTGATCCCCTCTTCCCGCTCTGTTCTACTTAGTACATCGCCCTACAATGCCGATTTCGATGGTGACGAGATGAACTTGCAGTAAGTATGATTGAGCGATGTGACTATCAGCTCGATCTGTATTTGAAACCCTAACGCCCTATCCCTGTTAGTGTGCCGCAAAGTGAGGAAACTCGGGCCGAACTCCAGCAAATCGCCTGGGTCCCGCGTCAGGTCTGTCAAGCGAAGCTCGAAATTCCTGGGCCTAGCTGAACTACGCCCGTTGTTTGGAATCCGCAGATCATCTCACCCCAAGCGAACAAGCCAGTGATGGGGATTGTTCAGGATACGCTTTGTGGACTCCGCAAGTTCACACTGAAAGATGCCTTCTGCGACTGGACTCAGGTGCAAAACATCCTACTCTGGTTGCGTAATTGGGACGGGGTCATCCCTACCCCAGCCATCCTCAAGCCGAAGCCCATGTGGACCGGCAAGCAGCTCCTGAGCATGTGCATTCCGAAAGGAATCAACGTATCCAAGTTCAACTCGAGCAAGCCCTCGCCGATCGATGACAGCGACGAGAACGTCTTAGTTGAAGACGGGGAGATCCTGCACGGTACCATCGTCAAGGCTATGGCTGGAGCCCAAAATAACGGATTGATTCACGTCATCTTCCGTGAAAAGGGACACATCGCTGCGCGAGACTTTTTTTCGACCATTCAAAACATGATCGACTTCTGGCTCTTGCACCATGGTTTCTCTGTTGGGATCGGTGATACCATCGCGGACGTCACCACAATGTCCATGATAACGAATCGTCTTCGAGAAGCGAAGGAAGAGGCAGCACTGATCATGCGAGAGGCCGAACAGAATATCCTCACGCCTGAGCCTGGAATGAAGGTCCGGGAGACCTTCGAACATCTGATGAAGGGAGAACTGAACAAGGCTCGAGACTTTGCTGGCGAGTCGGCACAAAAGAATCTGAAGGCGGACAACAATGTCAAGCAGATGGTGGTTTCAGGATCGAAAGGATCTTTCATCAACATCTCGCAAATGTCGGGTTGTGTCGGGCAGCAGAACGTCGAAGGGAAAAGGATCAACTTCGGATTCCGCCATCGATCTTTACCCCATTTCGCTCAGGATGATTTCGGTCCCGAGGCTGGTGGCTTCGTCGAAAATTCGTATCTGCGAGGCTTGACGCCGCAAGAGTTCTTTTTCCACGCAATGTCCGGTCGAGAGGGTCTCATTGATACTGCCGTCAAGACGGCTGAAACGGGTTATATTCAGAGGCGATTGGTCAAGGCAATGGAAGACGTGATGATTTGCTACGACGGAACTGTCAGAAATTCTGCGGGTGATGTCTTGCAGATGCTGTACGGGGAGGATGGCATGGATGGAGCTGCCATGGAAAGACAGGTAATCGCTTCCTGTGCCACAAAGGTGTTAGTCTTGCTTACGAAGTGATTTGGCACCCTCTTACAGACGCTAGACATCTTGAAATTGTCGAAAGATGCCTTCAAAAAGACCTACAAGGTCGACTTGCTAGACAAGAAATTCGATCTGCCCAAGAATCTCTTACAAGCAGGTCTGCTGGATAACATACCGGACGTCCAATCAGTTTTGGATGACGAATATGCCAATCTGAAGTATTATCGACGGGAATTGAGGCGAATCTTCCCGGACGGAGAAGCATCCCGACCATTGCCTGTCAACATCTCGCGAATCATTCAAAACAGCCGTCAGGTCTTCTCTATCGACACCCGCAAACCCATCAATCTCAGCCCCGTCACTATCGTCAATAGGGTCAATGAGCTGTCGGAAGAATTGATCGTCATGCGAGGCAACGACGCCCTCAGCAAACAGGCGCAGAAGAACGCGACCATCCTTTTCAAAGCGTTGCTGTACGGCAGCCTCGCTGTGCGGCCAGTTCTGATGAGGCACCACCTGAGTGCTGAAGCATTTGAATGGGTAGTTGGGGAAATTCGAAACAAGTTTATGCAGTCGGTCGCTGACCCAGCGGAGATGTGCGGAGTGTTGGCAGCACAGTCTATCGGAGAGCCTGCTACTCAGATGACACTCAACACCTTCCACTACGCAGGTGTGGCGTCGAAGAACGTTACTCTCGGAGTGCCACGGCTCAAAGAGATCATCAACGTTGCCGAGCGGATCAAAACGCCGATCAATACCATTTACTTTGATTCGAAAATCAACCAGAGCAAGAAAGATACTAAGAGTATGACGGCTCTCCTCAAATACGTCGACATCGAACGTTTGACGTCGAGGGTAGAGATTCACTATGACCCGGCGGTCGACAGCACCTATATCAAGGAGGACGAGGCCTTTGTCAAGGCAATGTGGGAGATGCCAGACGAGCGAAACGAAGCGGTCCTGGACCGTCTGTCGCCATGGGTCATCAGATTCGTACTTGACAGAGCCAAGCTTCAGGATGCGGAGATCGAAATCGATCAGGTGGAGCGACGGATTAACGAGATCTTCAATCTTGGATCACACGATCTGCATGTGTGTCCCTCCACCCAACTCTCGCAGCAACTCGTCATTCGAGTGCGAATGGTCCTGCAGGACAAGGGAGAGGCCGAGGATGCAGACAACGAGAACGTGCAGGACACGCTGAGACGTGTAGAGAAAGCCATCTTAGCCATCGAGATGAGTGGAATCCGGGGTATCGAGCAAACCTTTATCCAAGAAGGCAAGCGGACAATCGTCAAGAACGGGGACTTCGACAAGAACCACAAGGAATGGTACATCGAGACGTCCGGGAAAGACGCCAAGGAAGCCCGAGACACCGCCAGCGGGAAATTTGCCGGACTGACCAACTTCAAGGAGGTCATCGCCGTCGATGGAGTCGACGTTTCTCGAACTTACTCAAACAACTCGTTCGAGATGTATCAAGCGTTGGGAATCGAGGCTGGTCGGGCTGCTTTGCTCAAAGAATTGCGTGGCGTCATCGAATTCGATGGATCATACGTCAACTACCGCCACCTTGCTCTTCTCTGCGATGTCATGACACAGCGGGGCAAGTTGATGTCCATCACTCGTCACGGTATCAACAGGACCGATGCCGGTGCTCTCGCCAAGTCCTCCTTTGAAGAGACTGTCGAAATCTTGATGGAAGCCGCGGCCATGGGAGAGAAAGACGATTGCAAGGGTGTAGCTGAAAACGTGTAAGTGACTGGATCTTTCATCTCGGTATACTCGTTGGCTGAGTCTTTCTTGTCACAGATTGATTGGACAAGTAGCAGAAATGGGCACCGGGCTTTGTCAGGTCACGCTTGATCTGGATCTCTTACGAAACGTCCAGCCTGACGCCCAGGGAGACTTGGCGCGATGGCAGCTGCAGCAAGGCGGAGCTATGACGCCTGGTGGCGGATTCAACGCCATGATGACGCCTTACGATGATGGCAGTATGCCGTATAGTGACACTGGGCGTATCTATGACGCTGCGTTCAGGTAAGGACATGGTCCGTCGACACAGATCTTTGCAGCCGCTGAAAAACTTGTCGTTGACCGCAAACACAGTCCAATCGGTGCAGCTGGCCACGATGATGCGTTCGGAGACACCATGCCTTACGGCATGTCGCCTATTGCGCAACCCAGTCCTCGAGGTGCGGGTAGCTACAGTCCTTCGAGCCCTGGTTACAGTCCCACAAGTCCTTTTATCAGGTCAGTCTGGCCGAATCATGAGTGGCAATACGACCTGACCGGTGTTTTTGGTCCAACAGCTCCCCAGCCTATGGCACATCGCCTGCGTCGCCTGGCTTCGGTTCTTCGACACCTTGGGCTGTCACGTCGCCTGGATACTCGCCGCAATCGCCGGGTTTCGGAGTATCGCCTGCAAGTCCCAACTTCTCACCAAGTTCTCCTCAATATTCTCCTAGCTCCCCTACCTATTCACCTACCAGTCCTGCCGGACACGGGCGCAAAGCCTGGGGCCCCACAAGCCCTACCTATAGTCCTACGTAAGTTTGAATTCTGCGTCTTCACTGTATACACTCGCTCACGTGTTGGGTACGGATTCACACGAGACAGGTCGCCTGCTGGTCAATACTCTCCGGCGTCTCCGCAGTATTCGGTAGGCTCGCTCCATGATGTCATTATGTTCTCAGCTGACCACGCATTGATGTCGTGCGATCATAGCCGGTCTCTCCCGCTTTCTCGTAAGTCGCACATGCGACGAGTTCAGATATGAGACCCCATATGCTGAATCTTTGCGACACTAGTCCTGCATCACCCGCGTTCTCGCCAGCATCTCCAGCGTTCTCGCCCGCATCACCAGCTTTCTCTCCGGCTTCGCCTGCATTCTCTGTTGGTCTTTTCTAACGGTGTCACTGCGTTAGCATCTGACATCTGCTGACGAGGTGTGCTTCCTGCAGCCCGCTAGCCCAGCCTTCAGTCCAGCCTCACCGGCGTTCTCACCTACCTCACCTGGCGGTGCATACTCTCCGGCGTCGCCTGCCTATTCTCCGGCGTAAGTTAGAATCTTGGACCTTCAGTTCTGCCATGCTGAATTGACTTGTTCTCCATGGCGGCGTTGTGCACAGGAGTCCGGCCTATTCTCCTGCGTATGTCGCGTCTAATTTCTTATACGAAAGACCTCAGACTGATGCAACATCATCTTGGCGAGCATTCAGGTCGCCAAACTACAGTCCTACATCACCCGCCGGGGCCTATAGTCCACAGTAAGCACGATCGGGTCGGGTCGAGGTTCGAAGATCCTGGAGAACTTATCCAATACGCGATTTTCCCACTTTCGACTCACAGCAGCCCAGCCTAGTTCGTAATGAAGCACGGTTGCCTGTTACCCTCGTGTGCCGTACTGATTCTGGGTCTTGTCTCCAAACTATAGCTCTCCGACGAGCCCCGCATTGTAAGCCGACTTGTTTCGTCCCAAAGGAATGTTTTACTTTACTGATCGACATCCACGCTCGTGCGACAGTTCACCTACATCCCCTCAGTACTCAAACAACGTCAACAAGAGCCCTGCGTATGGTGGATACAGTTCCGCTTCCAACCAAGCTCGGAGGTGATGTACCGTCTACAACAATGGGGCTATATTGCTTTGACGACCGCATCGGGTCAATTGTACAAAGACTGGTTGAAAATGTGTTTTCATTCGCGCATGATGCAATGTCCATGCCTAGCATACATGAAGAGGTCGGGCCCGTGTCTAGCCATCGGGTAGTGGCTCTGACTCAGCATGAACAGTCGTTGCGTAATCATCTTCATCTAGCACTACCAGCACTCGACCCTTTGCACCATCTCTGACGTCGTTAATTGCGCTCAAGGCTTGTCGACCTTTGTCGACCATAAGTTCCAGACGTGCGTTGGCTCGTGTCACCGCGGTGTCGATCTGCGCGATGCAATCGAGGTAGTCGTCTAGTCCGATGTCATCTAACGTCTCCATATGAGCGGCAACATCTGTTGACACCGGATGAATATGTCCTGGGGCATGCATCGATTCCGAAGCCCGTTGAAGCTGTCCAGAACTTCTAAGCTGTCGTCTCAATGTCAATATTATCTGGTCCTTCCTCGTCACTTCCGCTATAGCATAGTGCAAGATCAGGTCAAGTGATTATTGATATTCGCGCATTCGCGGGAAATACAAACGTACCTTCATGTTGTCTGTTCAGTGTCATGAGGGACCTGTTCGTAATCAACAGGTCGGCGTACTGTCGTAGAGTAATGATGATTCAATCAGGCCATGGTCTGCTTCAGCGTGCCACAGAATCAGACGAGTCTCACCTTGCGGTCTCTCTTTGCCTCTGCAGCAGCGCTGTTGACTTCAATCGTCTCTCTTGCCGAAACAGGGGATCGCTCCGGGGAGCCAGGTACTTCCATTTCCTCCTCGGACGGTAGCAGAAATGGCTGTAGACTCTCCTCTTCATCCTGGTCCATGTCAAGAGCGATTCCAGTGGCCTGCAGTCGTGGGAGCGTCTCGGCACCCTTTGAGTGAGCATCGCCGAGCCGCCTGTCGTGCTCTGATTGTAGGCGCGCCTTTCTCGCACTGCTTCTGGCTGGTGATCGTGGAGACACCCCGGACCTGGGCCTGTAGTCTCCTGGCTCGAGATCGGAATTTACAGGGGACGACGGTCTTGTGAGTATGCTTCTTGAAGCATTGTTTCTCGGGTCTTCCCCCAATCGAGAAACACCGGTTATAGGATCGGGTTGTTTCGATTTGGCACCCAATGCGGATGTGGCAGCCGTGAGGGCTGTCGCTCTGGGGCTGTACAATTGTACGGGGCCTTCGGCGGCGGCCATACTAATGTCTCTTGTGAGCTTGTGACCAGTCCAGAGACGTTCGGAGCGAACGGCCACCGACGGAACAGCTGATAGACCGTGGCCTTGCGTTTTGGCATCATTCCTGGTCAACGCGGGTGACCGTCGGTCGATTGGCGCTGCCGGGAGTGTGTATCGAGCGTCCGTATTGCCCATATTCACCTTGGCTCTTGGGCGTAATACAAGGCCTGTGGTCTCGGATGATCTAGCTCCCGGCGGGTTCTTATTGAAAGAACCGGAAATCGAGGCAGATGGTCGCAATGCGGGACGGCTTGCAGTGGGCCCCATCTCTAGCTGCCTCGTCACCTGCATCCCGAGAGATTGTACGGTCAGCTATGTGTGCTCGCTATGTTAAGGGACTCGTCGACTTGCTTTGCGGCGCGGTTGCTCGTTAAGATGCTGCATGGTTTATGCTTCGGCTATCGTCCTGGCTTTCTGTTTTCGTGCAAGCCAAGTATCGAAGGATCATCAAGGGGTCGCTTTGTGTGCACGACGGATTGGCATAATATCGTCCAGAAATGTGAAATACGTCGGCGGGCAGCTGCCAATAGAGCTGAGTGTAAAGGGTGTTTGATGTCCGATCGAATTGATCGTTTGATCGCCGATCTCTAAAAGCGATCACTTCGATCACTTCATCGGATCACTTACATTACTTGCAACACTTGCATCTATCGCGAACCGTCGTGCTTCTGGGTGTTACGTAAGCACGGTTGTTTACGATTTGTCCGCACGGGCATAGGAGAGCGGAGCCGCTTAGGATGAAGCACTCACGGACATCAACATGGATGCAAATCTGTACTGATAAAGTAGAATTGCTTGAAAGAAGAGAATTCGATCGCAGCCATCAATTTGTTGCGCAATAGATACAGCAACAACAGGGACAACAATTGTTACGGGAGAACCTTGTGAGCCACAATCACTACCATTGGCAGACATTAAGATCATAATCAGTCCGCTTTGCCAAGCAGAGTCACTCAAACGGGAAGGAAACACTCCTCCCTACCAACTTGTTGGACAATATACAAAGCTACATCAACAGGTACAACAATCCTACTCAGGCCCGCCCAAAGGTCCAATATGATTATCATTCAAACACCAACTAGATGCATCGTCAACCACATGTCTGATGGCATCCGGTACAATGGAGAAACAGCTTTGGCTCAACAACTGAATCCTGATTGATGACACAACCATTATTTTACAGCCATCTCAATCTCAATTCCTACCTTCTTGCCGTTGCTCTGGGTTTTGCTATTGTTCTGGAATTGACTATATGCTTAGTCAAACTTGACTGTATTCAATAGATCACACTCTGCAATAGTAGAAAGGTCAAGTTTTAATAACGCATTGGATATATACCTATCCGACTTGTTGCAAACATGTTCAAGATGTATTGCAGAAAGGTTGGAACATAAAACATTGCTAAGTAACTTGTGTCACGCTGCTAGCACTCGACCTGCTCTGTCTTAGTAGTATCAAGCAGACCTGCTTCCTTGTCCATACACCATTGTCTGGATTTGCACGCATACCAAACTCGCTTTACCAAAACAAACTGCCTCCATTCTCCCTGTTGAGATATCAGCCTAAGCTGGTGGTATAGCTGTTCCTTTGATAGTGTTGATGAATGCTATCTTTTGTGTGAATCACTATGTATCTGGTTGCTGACTTAAGAGTCAAGTAGTATATGAGAGGGGAAAGGGGAATGAGGCCAAACTTGCCTCCTATATATACTATCCTGATGGTAGCATCCATGGCTCCACAACCTCTTGAGACCTGTACATCCTACAGGGAATCCTGTAGATTGTACAAAGTACAATGTGCAATGCACGGAGTATAAAGTACATTGTACATCCTACAGAATGAGGCTTTGTGATGGAGATTGCACCTTTGGTATCACCTATGATGTCATACCATGCCAATCTGCAACAGAATCTACTTCCTTATCCATATACCTGTCTTTGAGGCCATACCTTCTGCCAAACTCACTTCATACAAACAGATCCTCCCATTCTCTCGACTACCTGTCCATCTACCTGCAATTCAACATAGACCCTCAGACCCTACAATTAGATGCTCTCAATGACCTCTGCTGTAACACCTAATATTAGTGGATCTAGTTGTCAACAACAATTTGAACTGGACTGTTGGTGTTGCTCTTTGAAATTGTGGCTCATATCAAGCGAGATTGGTTTTGCAAGAACCATTGAACCTGATAGGCGCAATACCAGCGCTTCCCACCTATCGTGTCGATCCATGGTGAGATCATGACTGCATTGTCCATGCTAAAGGGTTGAGGTTATAGCAACACACGCATAACAGAGGCCAAGTTATAGCATCCGTGCCGGAATTGATCAAGGAGTACCATATGTTGTATCACTCTTTCATTCACTGGGTTTATATACCTTCATCTGCTATTACATCTATATACCCTAGACCTACCCTCACATCACTCCTAGATATGTCCTCTCTGGCAATCAAAGGCAATCATCAAGCCGGTCTTCTCAGGAGCCTTCCCAATGCCTAACAGCTGAAGCACGTGATTATTTCAGGGGTATAGACATCATAAAGTGCGGTTAACTCCTTGGCTGCTGTTACGGGCGTCCTCGAAAATCGTCTAAGGGGTTGCTTCTGCGTATTTACTTCCGTCGCGACTACGTGGCGGGTCACAGGTTTCTAGATGCAAGCGAAGTCGGATCACGTGACTACGATGTCTCACGGTCTTTCTCGAGTTCGTGTGAAGTCGCGACACTGTACTAACGATTGCGAGTTCGTCGGTGATAGTGTAACCTCTCCTAATACGTCTCCGTAGTGTAACTAAGGTATAGGCGTATGTTGAATGTAATAACTGTGCTTGAATCGTATAGAAGTACAACAGACTCGCACGACTTCTCTACGATTCGCGCTCCGTTATATACTAACTACGTACTCGTGTTGCTCGCACCGAATCCGCCATTGTTTACCGAGTTTGCCCGACTTCGTGCATGTCTTCTTTGTTCGAGAACAAAAGGCCATCGTCCATCGGTCACTCGTTCAGGCGAACAATAGATGGTCGAACACACGAAGACACACGAAGTCGCGGTTTTCTTTTGTTGTCTTCGTGCGGATCCGCTGGGTGTCGCCCGATCCGGGCCGATGACCTAGATGCGCGTCGATCCCATGCTGCCGTTCGGTCACGCCCTGTGACAGCTGCCTGTCAGGTATGAAGCAAGCCGACTCTTGTATGGGACAGGAGCAAATTTCACAAGTGGTGTGAAGTAAGCCGACCCTGATGTGGAAGAGGAGTGGAACTCGCAACTGATTTATAACTGGATACCTTGCAATTGTCTCAACACTATCCTATTTGGTAATTCTTGATGTCCTTTGCTTGTTATGTGACAAGGGTAGCTAGTCCTTGTTGGTTGAAGGGGTGATGGTGGAAAGGGAAAGGGTGAAAGGGACGCATTGAAAGGTAAAGGTAATTGGAATGAATATAGTGATAAAAGGTTTGATTCCTCCTAAAAGAGAAAAGGTATGATCCATTTCTCCTTTTGGGGACTCCTATATATGTACAATCTGAGGAAATAGCATGTGCCAGAACATGTGTCTGTAGACACAAATATGTGACTGTAGACGTGAATATGTGACTCAAGACGTAAATATGTGACTGTAAACACGAATATGTGACTGTAGTTGCGATGATGCGTCTGAGGTCGCACAAATGTGTCTGTTATAGGCGTCACGTGATGCGCGATCTATGGTGCGTGTCACCTTGGGGTCTTGCTCGGAGACCCTCTTGGAAACCCCCTCGGAGACCTTTTAGGAGATGTTCTTGTCAACGTCTAACTAGTAACCTGTAGTAATTAGACATCCGTTATTACATTACCATGCATACCACTACCTTTCCCCAGTCCCGCAACCTCATTACCTCAAGACCCTGCAGGACAAGTGCTGGGCCTTATAGTATCTGCAGACGCATATTGTTGTGATATCAGCCTAAGCTGATGGTGTAGCTGTTCCTTTGATGATGTTGACTGTTGCTATCTCTTGTATGGATGACTATTTATCTGATTGCTTGGTTGCTTGCATAAAAGTAGAGTAGTACATGAGAGGGGAAAGAGAAATCAGACCCAAATGGTCTGCTATATATGCTATTCTGGTGAGCATGTCCCCTAGTAGACTTGCGACTGGAGCAGTCGCACAATTGCGTTTCTGGACACATATGGCGTCTCTGGCTGCGTATTTGTGACTCCAGTCACAAATGACATCACCAATATGCGACTCCAGCCGCATAAGTGCGTCCCTGGCCGCATAAGTGTGACTTCAGTCACAGTTGTGTGTCTTCAGTCACAACATGTGATCTCAGTCACATGTTGACCCTTTGTGCTTGAGATTGCACCTTTGAGCATCACCTATGATGTCATAGCATGCCAATCCTCATCACATATGCGTGACTGTAGTCATGGACTTGTGAATCTGGGTGCAAGTGTGATTACAGTCGCACCTTGACATCACCCCCATCCTATTTGAGCTCTGTTCCAGAGGTCAAGCAGAAATTGGATTGGAATAACGTATCATAACTCAAGCCAGAGGTAAGCAGTGGAGCAATGTATTTGAACAGACTATTGCGCGTGAATGGCTTGTAGTTCCGCCCTATCAAAGGTGCTGTTCAGAATTTTCCTCATTGCCCTCTCTCCTCTGCGTCAAATCTCCAAGTGATTGCCATCAACGAAGGAGTGCCAGCTGAATGAAGAAATGGCGGATTGCTCAGCAATGGGAGGTGCTAGCAAGGCAATTCTTTTGCAAGGCGTGTTGTGAAGTAACAACTAGATCCACCAAGGTTGGCTACTTGATGTATCTAGGCAATAGTAATGGTGTGTTACTAGTGCTGATCTTGTCTTGTTGTGAAGATGAACCAATGTTGCTTATATAAAAGCAAAATAAGTATATGAGGGGAAAGAGAAATCAGGCCAAAATGGCCTGCTATATATACTTTTCTGGAAAGGGGCAAATGGTGGCAAAAGGCTGTGGTTTGCGGTTTGTGGTATGCGGTATGCGGTTTGAGGTTTACGGTTTGCGGTTTGTGGTTTGTGGTTTGCCCTTTTGCTTCCTGCTGTCTACTTTGTGATTGAGATTGCTTCCATGTGCTGATGTCCAATCATCACATGCCTATTTCCAACAAGGTGGTGGGGCAATTATCAAGCTGTCCGCCGCCGGTTTTGATTGGCTTGGACCAGCAGTCGTGTTGTGGTGACCGGATCGACAGAATCCAGGGTGTTGTGATATCAGCCTAAGCTGATGGTGTAGCTGTTCCTTTGATGGTATTGACTGCTGCT